AGGATCAGGAGCACAGGGGGTGGGATCCAGGACGGGGTCTCTGCTCTGATAAGAAGGTCAGGATACACGTAAGAGTGCAGGACTCAGCCTGCACTGGGCCCTCCTATCCTGAAGGAGACTATGTGGTACTTTCGGGCTCCAGCTTCCTGGGATTCCAGGGAGCACTGTGATAAAATGCTCATGGTTCACCTAGCACATGCAAACAGATCCTGTGCAATGTCTCTGGTCCTCCCTCCACCCTCTCACGCACGCACACCCATCCCGTGGGGCCCTTGAGCTCTTTCCTCCCCCTGAGCCTCAGGGGCCCAGCCTGAAACTGCAGCATCCTGGGATTCACCTCACTTGAGCAGACAGAAAGGAAGGTCAGAACAGGTGGAAACCTTCTCGGAGCCAAAGCGTGAAAATCAGCAGGACAGAGGTCCCCGGGAAGACAGACCAGCAGGGCAGCTGTGTGCCTAGCTGTTCCTCTCCCCTTCCGCCATCCTCCCATCCAAGAACCCCACTCTCTGAGGGCATCCAGCCGCGGAAGCGTCCCCGGTGCCCCTCTCCTCCTCCATCCTTGCTGGAACCAACCTCACGGGCCACTTTGCTCTGCCCCGTTGATCAAGCCTCACTCCAACCTCTCCAGCTCCTCCCTCAAGGCACCCCCACAAAACCCTGGTTGCCTCGGTCAATCCGAGCATGTCAGACTACAGGCTGGCTGCTGGTGGTCTGGCTGAGTTGGCTCCCGGCGTGCAAGGTGAGCAGGGCACCGCGTCTCCTCCTGCACTCACACCTCCACACCCCCGTGCTCACAGACCGCTCCCAAAACTAAGGCTGGGGAGGTCTCGGTTTTTCTGACCACGAATGAGTTCACGGAACGGGATGGCATGTTTCCCGAGGGACCATGTGGCCTTTCCAGAGGCTCTCATCGGAGCCCCTGAGCACTTCTCCGTGTAGTTCTGAACGTCCTTTCCCTTTCACAGAAGAAAAAAGAAAACCCATAAAAATGGAGCAGCCATCTTGCGACAAAATTAAGGAAGCCAAATTCCTTCACTCAGTGGAGTCTCCACGGGACATGACCTCTGCTGAGCTGGGGTGCCACGGCAAGCCCCGTGTCCTCGCCTCCCGGGAGCCCGGGAATAAGTCACAGTGATACCTGGCACTGTTATTCCTAGGACTCCTTGCAAAGCTAGAGTGACTGAGCGTCTAGTCCGCCGGGAACCACGATGACCCATGAGCGACAGAGCTTCCCAAACCACACGGAGCTGGACGGTCGCCCGGTGCCTGGTTAACCACACAGGCTGGGCGTGCAGCCTGGGGGCTTCTGTGTCTAACGAGCTCCCAGGGAATGCGGATGGGGCTGGCCCAGACCCCGTGGGAGGCCGCACATCCTCACATGTCTGTATTTGCTGTAGGAATACGGGCAGCCCGTGTGGAGTAGTGACCGGCTCCCCAGGGCAAACCTGGCTGTGTGCAGACTCCGGGTTGGGGCAGAGCTACGCATCATGCCTCACTGTGCGCAGTTCCCACCCCACGGGGGGCGGAATTCGTCACTTCCTTTGCGATATCCCTGCCACCCTCCCAGTGTGCAAAATGAGCCTGTCCCACCACCTTCTCCTGCACTCAGGCCTCCAGACCCTCCCACTCCTCTCGGTAAGCCCAGGGCCCTGTGTCGGCCGGGGTTCTCCGGGGAAATATCCACGGCGTGTGTGCGGGGGGGCGGCGTGAAGACAGAGAGAGTGATTGATTTAGGGTACGTAGGCAGAGGGATGTAGGGGGTGCGCGTAGAGATACGCAGGGGGTGCGCGTAGAGATACGCAGGGGGTGCGCATAGAGATACGCAGGGCGTGCGCGAAGAGATACGCAGGGGGTGCGCGTAGAGATATTTAGGGTGTGCATGTAGATATTTAGGCTATGCGTGTAGACGTATTTAGGGTACATGTGTAGAAATATTTAGGATATGCATGTAGAGATATTTAGGGTACATGTGTAGATGGAGAGATTTAGAGAGATGGGGGACTGGCTCACAAGATCGTGGAGGCTGAAGCCCATCCACATTACGGACGGTAAGCTGCTTTACCCAAAGTTTACGGATTTCAATGTTAACCTCATCTGAAACCACCTTTGGGTGGCTCAGGTCATGACCTCAGGGGCCTGAGATGGAGTTCCACAGGCTCGTCACTCAGCACTCGTGCATCCTCCACTCATGTGGACGCTCTGTCTCTCTCTCAAACAAAACTTTAAAAATACCTTCCCAGCAAATCTAAACCAGCGTTTGACCACAACCTGGGCACCTGGGCCCGGCCAAGCTGACACCTGAAATAGACCATCACACCTGCTTCTTCTGTTAGTGGACTGTGTCCACCTCGGGCTCCCGGACAGCCACACACCCCCAGCCTGTGAGCCGGGGAGGGGAGTGCCCAGAGGCCACCTTCCCTACTCTCCTCCCCTCGCCGCTCCCCTCGGCCCTGGACCCCAGACCCCTCCCTCCCTCAAGATGGGGCCTGGGCTGCCCCCACCCACCTGCGGCCCCGTTTCTCCTCACCTCCCTGCTCACTCCAAACGGTGCTCCAGCCCAGCGGCTCCATGGCCTCCAGTCCGCTCAGGGGCGTCTCTACCCAATCCCAGGCCAGTGTGTACATGCACATGGGCCTGGCAGCAGGACGCACCCCACACAGCCCCCCTCTTCCGTGAATCACACACACAAGGCTCAGCACTGCCCAGGTTCCCACCACCTGGGGAGGGCCCGCTGTTCCTCCTCCTCTTCCTCCCCCTGGGTGCCCTCCGCACCCCCCCACTCTCTTCCCAGTGGGGGAGCTGCCATGGCCCAGTTCGGCCTGCTCTTCTCCACCCCTGCGTGTGCATCCCAGGGTCTCAACTCCTGCTACGTATTGTGAGCCCAGATTCCACCTCCAACCTCTGCCTTCTCCCCCAAGGGCCATCCCTACCTGTCATTTGGGCCTTTCAGACGCAGCACGTCCTGAAATCCACCCTTGTCTCCCAAGCCCTGTCCAGAAACCTGCTGTTTCCTAGACAAGCCCCTCACTCACCCAGGTCGGACCCAAACCACAGCCCATCCTCTACCATACTACAGGACGCCAGTGGGAAACTGTGCCGCTGCCCGCCTGGGGCACCTCTAGCAGCCACGGCAGAACAGGCACCTCCTGCCCGTGTCTTCCCCGACCGCGTCGAACACAGCCCCTGCCTCTTCTGTGTCCCTCCAATCCGTTCGGCACAGCGACCGCGGGAAGACGAGGTCCCTGCAGCCCGGCCCCTACTGGACTTGCTGAGTTGAAGGGCGGTCGCTCTGTTCCAGTGCCCTGCTCTCCCTGTTCCCTCTGCTGGAACGCTCTTCCCCACACCCCTGTGCTCTGCTCGTCAGAAGAGCTGCTGAGCCCTCCCCCTGCTCTCCGTCCCAACGTCTCCTCAGGCAGCTCCTTCCAGTCCTCACCCTGTTGTATTGTACGCCTTTCATCTTCATGGCATCTCTGACCAGCACTTTATTTACTACCCGATGTCCCTGCAGGCCTCCAGAAGGGAAGCCAGGGTCTTCTGTCCACCGCGGTGTCTGCAAGGACGGAAGAATTGGTGGCAAATGGAAAATATCTCATAGAAATATACACAGTCAGCGGCAGTAATGTAAACCAAAGAAACGCACACATTGGGCGTGAGATGGTGGACAGTCCTCGGGCAGGGTCTCCATGCAGGTTCAGCCCATGCTTGCTGCACTTGACAATCCCGGCAGGGGCCGAAAGAGATGTTTCCACGGCGCCCATGCCGTGGCCCTGCCCCCAACCCCCGAGAGCCCACTCCTCTAGCTCCCGGGCCACCTCCCTGCAGCTCCCCCTCAGGCCTCCACCTGGGACGCTGTGCTCACGCCTGCTTGAGCTTGACCGACTCGGATATCCCTGCCACACGGGATCCTGCCCTGGCCTCTGGAACACACGAACACCGCCAGCCCCTCTCCAGGCGCCGTTCCTTGACACTGCTCACTTCTGCAACACGCATCAGACAGCAGATGGTGTTACAGAGTTTGCTGACTGCTTGCCTGCACCCTCCCCGGGCGAGCCGGCTAGGTTCCTGGATGTGCCCTGAGTGCCTGGCAGGGGCTCAGTGTGTTTACTGAGTGCCGGAAGGATCCCAGATGCCCTCAGTGAGGTGGACGGCTTCATCTGCGTCTCCTGGATGAAGAAACGAGGCTCGGAAAGGTGGAGGACGCCCGAGATCACCTGGTCAGGACATGAGGCAGGATTTCTCCCAGCGGCTGGTTCTAACCCCTGTGCGGAGTGACATGCAGAAGACACGCAACCTAAGGGCCTACTCTGAGCTATGAAGGGTGCACAGCTCACGGGGAGGGATCGTTCAGGGGAAGGAACTGGGGCTAAGCGGCACAGACTGATCTGATGCTGTGTGCTAGCCATTTCTAGGCTCCACATTTTATCTGGGGTAGAACCGCCCTGGGCAGAGCCATGAGCGCCAGATTCCCAGCACTCAGCTGCTGGCTCCCCAGCTGGGCACAGCAAAAGGAGGGTGTGGACGCGCAGACCCATGCCAGCACCGGAGCCCAGCCTACCTTGGGCGGATCCTTGGTCCCTCCCTGGGGGAATGGCCCCTTAGAGCCGCGGAGCCGGGCTGGCCGGTGCTCCTGAGGTCCGAGGTGTGCGTGAATCCTGCTAACGGTGAGTCTGCTCAAGTCCGAAGGGGGTGGCCCCACAGAAGACCTCTGGGTGGCCCTGCCTGTTTCTGTCATTTGGGGGGAATACTCACTGTTCACAAAAAGCTCCACTCCTTCGCTTTGGTGCATCTCCTGCTAAAGTCAGAATCCAGGCGTCTGGCAAATGGCGGCTCCCAGTAACCCCGCTGGTCAGGACTGATTATGGAGTTTATGGGAAATGGGAGGCGCCCAGGCCCACTGACCGAGAACACACAGGTGAGGGTCCAGATTCCTCAAGTCCATTTGCTCTCTCCCCCTCTGTTCGGCCAGGCCACTCTCTTTGGGCGAACTGGTTTTCTTTCTGCTTGGCCTCAAACAGCGATCTGCACTCAGGCGCCCCTGTGGGACACGGAATCTTTCCTTTGCCTCCTCTCCCGCGGGAGAGGCCAGCTTCAGCGAGGAGCAGGGGATGCAGCAGGGTTGGTACCCATCGGGCCTGCTCAGGGACCGGACAGGCTTTCTCCCAAGCTCTGGAACCTGGAAGACTCGAGATGGATCCGGGAAGACCCCGCAGAGCCACTGGGCTATGTTCAGCACAGGGCAGAGGCCAAGGAGCCCTGTCTGGGGGTACGGTGGCCCCAATCCCCGCTCACCCCTCACTGCCACCGGACTTGAGAGGCCCGTAACCTCTCTGTCCGCCACAGTAGGAACATCTAACTGTACCCTCCCCTGAAGCCGGCAGTGAGCTTCCTGACCCCAGCCCCTCTGCGCATTCCCCAGCGTTGTCCTGATGCTCAGAAGGGCCATACAGCGGGCAGCCTTTCTTAAACTGTGAAACTCCCAAAATGGGCTTCATCCCAAGAAAGCCCGGCGTCCCGGAGTGGATGAGGCTTGGGGGGGGGGGGGG